GTCCTCCCCTGGTTGTAGTTACATGGAGTGAAGAACTCTGCATCCTGAACTAGCCTCTTCCACTTGCCTGTAATAGCTGGACTGGGCCCAGTTTGACAAACTGGAAGTGGAGTGTGAGCAGCTGAGCAGCTCTAGGCAGACCTAAGGGCAGTGTAATCGTGAGCCGAGGGGTAGGGCTGAGCATGTGGGGACGAAGCCGGGGGCACAACACCATCCTGTGGCACAGCTACAGCTGGCAGAGGACAGGCTGTCAATCAGAGACAAAGAGATGGGACATACCCCATGACTCTTGTCCCCTCTCCGCATGCCCTGCAGCACAGTCATTCTCAGTGCTCACTTCAAGAGGTGTTTGTTAACTGGGTTTTTACTGGTCAGGGCAGAACTTAGCAGAAGGGCACACCTACCCCTTCCCATCTTACAGAAGGGCCAGAGAAAAATGAGGTCATTAATGCAACCCAAAACATACGCAGACAGGACGGGAGCTTTCTAGGTGTAATCGTTAGGATAAAGAACATCATCTCTGGCTTTTCAGCATCTCCTTGGCAAGCCTAGGAGATTGCATTAGGGAAGCAAGATTACGGACAAGAGATAAGGAGACTCTAGATAGAGACTCTGGACAACACCATGGCCCGCAGGACTATATAGAAGGATAGCTGTGATGTAGACGGGCTCCAAGTATTTGTGTGAATTATCTCAGATACTTTTCAAACATGTGAGAACAGCCAGGCTTGGAAAGATACTAACAAGCCTAAAAGCAACTATAGCTCAGTGTTTGATGCTTGTCTAGCATGCAGTGTCACTCTCAAAATACAGAAATATAGAGTTAGCTATATTTGAAATATGTCTCTAAATTTAAGAATGATAGTAATAAGCATTTGAATGCCTGACTTCAGAGTGATGGATTAGTCTATCTCCTTTCTAATGATTAAGGCCTTAGAAACTGTCATCCAAGTTGTGAAAGCACCTTATGGATATGCTTAGCATTGAGAGATAAATAGTCACAACATTTCAGATTGAGCTGAATTCTGCCCTGTGTTATACCCGAGAAACTCCATAAACTGCGAGTAAAATTTCTGTTTCCAACACTTTTTCCCAGTATTCCATTTTTTGGCAATTATTGTCTTAGCTTTTTCTATTAAAAAGTTTATGCCAGTTGGGGTTGCTCAGAGGAGGTCAAATTACAAGCAGAAAAATGCAAAATATTTTTCAACAATTATTCCTTTTTTTTTTCATAGAAATATCCCCGTTGACAATTTCTCAGACAGCTCTAGGGATGCATTTTCTTTTCTTTATATTTCATTTCATCTAAGTTGTGAGCTAGGATTTAAGTGCCAAATATCTTCAGTTGATATAAGAGGAGTTTGAAATGTCTTATCTCTAGAGGCCTGTGATTGAGTCTAGCAGCACCTGGAAATCTCTACTGACAGACACCCATCAAGCCATCCTCAATAGATGGGTAATATTAAAGCAACATAGCATGCGTCACAGCGTACAGTGTAACTGAAAACCCAACTTAGGTACACAAATGCTGGGTAGCTGTTCTGTAACGGGTGCACTTGCGTCATGGTTGGGATCGCTCTGACCAAATGTATATGCCTGTTGCAGAGGTGCCTGTATATGAACCGGACACCTTTAGAGCCAGCTGAGTGAAGCAGGCACTTCTGAGGCAAGGTTCACCTCATCTTCAAATAGACAGCTAACACAAGACTGATGAAGCCTGTCCGAGAAGTGCCCATCTCCTTCCATTGACTGTACCGGGACCCCGGGGTTACTAAATGAGATGTTGATGTAAAGGAGATGAATCTTACCTTCTTTGCTTAAAACATGCTGTAACTTGGAGGAGAAAAAAGGTTTAAGTGCAAGAAATAATTTGCCACATGCTCATTTTAAAGGAACAATTACACATGGGAGCATGTCTTATATAAATGAATTTATTTTAAGAGTATGTTTTTAAACAGTGTATATTTATGTGCATCCTACTGCAAGAGAATAATTTTGAACAGAATTAGGCATTTTATTTTATTTTTTTAATGAATGGCTGCAATCATAATGCGCTTCATGCTCTGCTTAAATTAGATTCCACTGCTGCATTTCTTTTACTATTTATCTACTAAATAAAAAATAAATGAACAATCTGGTATAAAAATCTGATTTTCTAAATGAATCTCTGATTGCTCAGAAAGAGTCACTGCATTCTGGATGAAGAAAATTAATTCATGGGGAGTTACCTTATGCCAGTCACCGAGTAGTCAGCTCAAGAATATAGAAGTTAGAAATGAAGGTGAAATAAGGAAATTTTAAAACTGTAGAGAAGAGATTTCATTAACTAATGTGCTCCTGTTGTGCATATATTACCCTCTAGCATTTTTTAATGTATCTTCTAATTATGTAATCAATGAAGATGCTGATGTTTACCAATGAAAGGATTTTTCCTGCTACTACAGAGCCATGAATTAACTATAGCAGGCCCACAGACCTCCGCAGCTCCCTGGCAGTATAGTATGTTGAAAACAGTTTTTCAGCATGTCCTTTTAAATGGATTGAATCTTTGTGGCAGAAGGACGGCATGTTCATGAACATCCTTTACAGACACCAACTGTGCCCGATAAAAACAAAGCAAGGCGAAGGGTGTTTTAATTTCCTATAGACTCTACAGCAAAACAACACACAGACGTGTACTGGGGAGAGATTAAACCAAGAAAAAGGGAGAATGTTTCTCTGCAACTGATTTCCTTCATGCATCTCCGTGAAACATTTTTGCTCAGTTCTGCACACTGTTTCTTCACAGGTCACAGCGTACCTCTTCAGAGGTGCTTCGGTGTATCATTTCTCCCAACTTTGCTGTTCGTGTCTTGACCCAGATTGAATGCGATAATTTACTCTAAATGGTACTTCAGTGTTGTGCGATGATACAGATAATGATGTCTACGAGGGAAAAAGAGGAACATTGAGCTGTAGTTACTCTCTACTCACAATCAGCCGCATCTTTGGTGTTAACAGGCTGGTGCCATCCGCAGGGTGACCTGACTGTACAGACTGTTGGAAATTGCATGCTAACATTGCCAGAAGCCATTACAGGTTACTTTTGTTGACCACTGTAATTATAACAAACGTTATGTTCCAGGGACGAGTTCTTGGCTGTATTGGATCCGTGACATCCAGCTCCCATGCATTTCAGCAGGCTGAAGATTTTACCCAAGCCTTTTGGAGAGCCTTATCCTAGTGTTTCCTTGCAATGAAGAGGCTTTGTGTGAGCCTTGTTTACACTTAGCTTTTCTGAAGCCCATATTCAGCCAACCTCACTCATCAGAGCCGCTTAATACCTCCCTGCCACATATGTATCCAGCAAAGCTGGGAAGCGGAGTCTAATCCGAGGGGACAATATGGAGAGAAAAGATGCCCGTCGGACGACTCCTCCCCAGAGACAATTACTTAATGAATGGTGATGGTGAATCACATGTTAATATAAAGTCGCAACAGATACATCATCGTAGAAAGAGAGAGTGTTATGATGCTCTTATTTTGCAAATATTTTCAGGGATCTCGGGTGAACATGTCCATCCAGCTGAGGAGAGCAAATCCTATTGCTGTAGCTGAAAGCACATTTCAGTTAATAAAGATGGTAAAGATCAGGCAATGTAAAATCTATTCTTCAGAGGCTGTGGGCACAGAGCGTGTCACTTGTCCTCTCTGTACTTTCGGCTTCTTGCCTTTTAGGGAAGGGATTACTGATTCAGCATAAAAGCCCAAATCACCACTTAAGAATTAGTATTTCGTTATTCTTTGCACATGGAAAGCAGAGTCTGAGAAACTATGTCCCACATTTCTGTATCTGGGAACACAGTTTGTTGGGTTTAATATTTTCCAATTTTCATTTTAAGTGTCTTTTGGTTGTAACTGTACTACTTCTCTCCACCATAACTGTATAGCTTTTCCTGTAGAAAGGTGTACCTACCATCTAAAATACGTATAAAGAAATATAACCAACAAGGACTGGATGAAATGTTTAAAACAATTTGTTGGGAAATGGGAGTTTTATAGAATAAAATCCTGGGGCAAAAATTAGATCAAATTGCACAAAAATGGTTCCACAGGAAGACAGTCTGTTGTAATAACATTTTCTTGCAGTTCAGCCTAAATGGGACTTAAAAAGAAATGTGTCCTCTTAATCCTGATGAAACCAGAAGTGTAATAGATGCTGCACTAAGAGTCTTCCGAGAAAGCTGAAAGCACTGTCAGAGGAAAGAAGATTACTTGGGCAAGGAGTGCACAAAATCTAGCCACCAGTTTTGGCAATCTTTCTGCAGAGAAATATAACTTTAGTTATCTGAATGCTAAACATAAATCTGTAATCCAGGTGTTTGCTTGGATTCATCTGGACTCCTTTAAAAAAATATGTAAAACAAAACACAGACAAATGCAAGATGCAAAACAAATACAGACATATCAGCTGTTCAAAGCAGTTCCTTGTAATTAATCAGTGCTTTGAGGAGGAATTTTCAGCCTCGTCATTGTTCATTAATTAAGAATGTGATGTTAGTTAAATCTGTTAACAAAAGTACGACTGAGCCCAAGCTCCAAGACTGCGCTTTTGGCTGAGCAGATTAGCGTGGACACATTTCATTTCCTCAGTGGGTCCAGAGGTGTCCTCACTCCTGCTGTAAGGTCATTTCATATCACTGAATGGCTTAAGGGACACTTTGTGCAAGCAAAGAGTCAGGACACAGGGAAGCTAGTCGGGGGGGTGGGGTGTGCATGTGCCTTTTGGTGTGAGAAAGCTATTAAAATAAACAGAAGACAAGTCTTGAAGGAAGATTTATGTATCTTCAGGTGGCAGCATTGGCTTCCTACATCCGATAGAACAAAGGACTCAAAAGTTGCCCAAAATGATATACTGCAAGCAGGATTTATGGTGATTTTAATGTGACACAGAGCAGAAAATGTGTTCTCCGCAGAGTATTTATGCCTGCAATTTAAAACCTGTGCTTTGATTGTTCTAGATGATAGCAAGTTCTCAGAGGCCATCACAGTGCTGCTTACGTGGATTGAGCGAGGCGAAGTGAATCGTCGCTCTGCAAACCAGTTTTATTCGATGGTGCAGTCGGCCAACAGCCACGTCCGCCGGCTCATGAACGAAAAGGCCGCTCATGAGCAAGAAATGGAGCAAGCCAAGGAGAGTTTCAAAAATGCCTTAACAGGGATCCTCACTCAATGTAAGTAATCTTTTTTGTCCAGTGTTGCTGTAGTGATGGTGGTGGTGGTGGTAGTGGTTTTTTTATCATTTTGTTTGTTTGGGGGTAAGTAGTTGCAACGCAGTCATATTCTACTTCATATCCTATTCCATACTCTATGGCATTTTGGAGGAACAAGGACCATTCCTAAGAGCTTATTTCTCAAGGTGAGCAAAGTTTCAGTAGTTTTTTTATTAATAGATGAAGATCTGCTCTATGGATAATGTCTACTGTTGTGTAGACACAACGCTTCAGGAACGGACCAGACAGAAGCTTCCTTGCTCTGAGAAAAGATCATGCTTTTGAGGAGAGAAGTGACATGTAGCCTGTGCGTTGCAGCTAGTTAACTAGGCCAATTGCAGAATAGAGCACAATTAGGTTATATTTTTAGCCGGGGTTTAGGTAAAAGGAAATAGGATTCAGCAGCTTTTGGGCATATATTCACAGCGTACAGGCCACCCCCACAGTAGAATAATATACTGTACTGCTGCTGGCATCAGGACTGCTTGGCTGATACAACGCCAGTATTAGTTTGGCACATAAATTGCCTTAAATATTTAATGTTGGCAGCTATTTCCTTAGTACAGAAATATAATCAATGAAGTTACCTTAATGAGGTTCCCTCATAAAACAATAATCGGGATACTTGCCTAGAAGTGTTCTACAAGGAGGAGTGAGAAGAGAAGAGAAGAGAAGAGAAGAGAAGAGAAGAAAAAAGGAAAGACCAGAAGAAATGAGAATTAAAACTAATTTCATTGTTGGTGGTTTTTAACATGTCTACTCATGGCTGCTCAAGTGAGAGGCTTTATGATACTCAGAAGGATGGAGCCTTGAGCCAGCTCTCATATGCGAGTTAAAAACAAAAACCAAGACAATTTACCAGATGGAGAACAATACAATTGTTGCACTGTAATTTCTGAATCACACCCCTAGTCATTACATAAAAAAAATACACCCTAAAGGGCCTTCAGAAGCTAGGGCTGAAGGCAGAGTCTTGGATGGACTTGCCTGAGTTAGGAGAGCAACCCCCTGGAAGCTTCCTGCATATGTGACGGAGAGCTCAGCACCTCAGAAGACCAATTCACTCCTAAGGCATATGTCCTTCTAATTTAAGAGTTGAGATGCCTGAATTTAGGAATAAAGAATCTGGGCCAAAGGCATTTGATTTCTGAGTAAATTTTAAACACCAACAAATTCCCCAGTGGTTTGCTAGGCAATCTCATCCTCCATCTCAGCAACTAAAAGGCAGCGTGAGGAGCAGAAGCGCAGGCACCACGCATGGCCGTGCTGTTCAATTCACACCAGGGCCTCTGTAGTTTTGTGTGCAACAGCCATCCCCAGCATTCGGAAATGCCTTCTTTAGCTGCATTTTAAAAAATCCCGCATTGTCAGCGGGCTGAACTTTAGTTAAATCAGTCTAAATTAGCCCATTTGTCACCAACTGTTGTAGAACATCTGTCACTTGGAAATAGAGATCCCGGTAGTTTCAGGTGGAAACTTGCAGTTTTGGCTATCTGGTTTGTTTCTATAATGTGCTGAATGTTGAACTTACTTACAAAAGCAGAAATAGATCTGGCTTCAAAACATGCGTTTCAGAGTGCCACAGTCACAGCAATGCCTGGAAGAAGAGAGTTTCTGACAGATCTGGCCTAGGAGGACAAGGTCAGCAAAAACACAGGCTCAGGGGAAGGTGTTACATTCCGTGGTTTTTAGAAGAACAAATTTTATGAGCTTTCCAGATGCTCTACATTGGTTATTTTAAAAACATCATAAACATTGGCCATTATTAGCATTAATGTATCTTATTACAATTCTCTGCAAACTTGCTACGAACAGATGGATGATGGTTTTGCTTTACACGTGTGTGTGCCTAAGATTGCTAAACGTGGAGACTGTGAAATGAGCTTCCCTTTTTCAAGAATTTTCCTGTGTTTGATTTGATCTGAGGAACGTTTTTCATGCGTTCCGTTGTTTTCCCACAGCCCTATGTAATCAGATATGATATGTCACTTGCTTTATGAAGAAGAATTTGAAAATACTAGATGTCCAAAATAGGTGTGTGTGGTCTATTAAATTCTGCAGAGTGGCAAGAAAAAACACTTCTGCTGTTCTGCAGTAAGGATCCAAAAGTCTAGTGTGATGCTGCAGCTGTGTGGCCATTTGACATAAATATTACAGTATTTTTAAAATACCATGTGGCATTCCTCTGTCAGGAACTAGGTCAGATGTCCAACTCCCAGTTGACCATTCTGGGCTTGCTTTGCAGTCAGCAGAGAAAAATAAGCATCTCCAGGGGATGAGTCATCAGACCGACCTCATGGTGCGCTTCCAGTGAGATGAGTCATCCCTTGGAGATGCCATTTTTTCTCTGCTGTCTATAAAGGACTTGCAGGGGGCTCAGAACCAGATGTCCAACTTTTACATGCCTTGTTCAGAGCAGATTGATTCCACTTACTGTGTTTGGTCTTGATACAGAAGGACATAGCACAAGGGAAGAACTTGGAGTTAGATAAAAATACCAGCATTGTAGCAGTGAATATTATGGGGAGAGAAGAAGAAATACATTCAGAAAATGGGCTTCAAGTGCACTCACCTGGAACACACACGCTGTCTATGTGGGTCTCAGTATTAAATGCTTTCTTATTAATGAGGATTAGTGTGGCCAGAACATTTCAGCTTACGGCCCAACTACTAAAGATGTACAGGTATTGAAATCCCTGCTACAAATTTCTGCCTGCGGGTATTTAGAAGATTACCAAGCGGATTACCCCTAAAAATTTGGGTCAAGCGTTCAGCATGTGAATTAATTACCTGACCAAAAAACTTGTGCCAGGATAATCAGCAAAATAAAGTGTATTACTGCTGTCACACCACAAATTTACAGCCACTGATTTAAGTTCTACAGGGCATCTTAGCCTTGTTTTGGTGCTTCTTCACTTATTTGAAGGATAAAGAGAGAAAAATGTCCATTTCCTTTTTTTTTTTTTTAATTAAATTACTTTTTCTTTCTAGGTTTTAATCTGTGCTTAAAATACGGATAATTTTCCAGGGTTTTGGATAGTTCTCCCTTTGCCCTTTGCAGTTTGATTTCTGAATTCTTCCACTTTGCTTCCCCAGCACCATTACATGTGACACTGCTCCCTGACTTTCCATGCATCTCCGTTTCATTTCCTCCCAAACCAACTTTTCAGCCTAAGGCTTATAGATGTTGATCCTCGTGTTTAAGAAAAATGAAAGCCCTGGAGACCTCTGTGTTGGGCTGTTTTTCAGACTACACCACAGCTGCAATTCTCTCCTCTGACATTCTCCTCCCTGCACTGTAAACTTTGTCTATTTTTTATTGAGGTTTCAGTCTATTTAGTGCACTGTCCCTTGAAAACATTTTGAGAAGTACCTATGAGTGAGTGAAGATCCAAAATCCCATATTCAAAAATTAATTTGGTATCTCTGGAGTTAGATATACAAGGGATTGGAAGTGTCACAGTATGCAGGTAAAAAGATACATGATGTAATGAACAGAAGTGCCCCATGGCTGCGTACTGAGCAGCTAATGACACTCACTTATTTGGTCATTTTTGTCAACTTAATAATGGGGGAATCTTCAAGGGACTTGAAGGCACCAGGTCCTCACCAGGTCTATGAATCAGTCTTCTGTGTGCCTGTGGGGGAACGGTGGGAGGGTGGTTTTTATCATGGAGCACCCTGGCCAGCTTAATTCCTTATCACATGGTGAACTTCACTTTGCTCTCTCCTTGGCCTTCAGGGATTTCAGTGCCTAGTGGTCAGGACTATCTTTTGGAAAGATGTTTAAATACCCTGAACGCCAGTGAAGGAACCGAACCTGATTCTCACTCATTCCAAGAGCACCCTAAATGGGGAGGTTTGGTGCTCTGAAAGGTGGTATTGACCTCCCTTAGGGTGTTTGACAATAGCTTTTAGGTACCTGACCCAGAACAATGCCGGCCGGAGGGAGATGTCTCCCTGCCTCCCATAACATGGCACCGAACAGAGAGGACAGCTACACCTCTGTCACGTCCCCATCCAGGGGATGTGTATGCATAGTCTCTCAGCCAGTTAAGGCAGCGGCCGCCTATGCATTCCCAAATGTGAAGCCCTTCCCCTGCACTTTGTAGGACATGTGAGCTTTAACCCACCGCAGATGATTACACATAATCACCAGAGTCTTAGAACTTGTGTAAAAGGCCCGAGTGTCAAAATGTGAGTCTGAAGATGTGGATGGACACAGAGTTCATCCTGAATTTTGTTCACAACGGCTAAATGACAACCCTACCGTTGGCATTAGGCAAGCCAATGGCAATCCAGTGGCAATCCAGTGTAGCAATCCCCAGGACTCGGTATTCAGGGCCAGTATACAGCAGTAGGCAATCCTAATATTTCCAGGGGACTTCATGGACAAACTATGTACTGACATCTTTTTTTTTTTTTTCCTTTTCAGCTAATAAATATCAGTAAAATATCAGTAAAAGCAAAACTGTTACAAACTTTAATGCCATTTATAAGTGACAAGATGCAATCTTCAGTAGTTCTGCTGGAGTATTTGTAAACTGTAAAATAAATTTTTCCACTAACTAGCAGGAAAATGTTGGTATCTTTCTCTTGGTACAGTTATAACTGTAATCAGAGGCCAAAACCTACAAGGTTTATAAAGTCTTAAAACACAAACACACTTATAAAGTCTTAAAACACAAGGATTCATATCTGTGCATAAAAGTGGCATTATTAATTCTTTTAAAGAAGGAAAGAGACAGCATCTGAGTGAGTGTCTACTTTGCCTGGACAACAAGTTGACTTCTGAGAGGGTCAGAAAAAGCACTGCATTATCATTACGTCACTGGTGTACCTTTACCACAAAAACCATGGTGGTGGCAGAGTAGTATGTGACTAGTATCACAGTAGTATGTAGCAGTATCCCAGCTTTGCAAAAAGCTGTGATCAGGGTGATATGCTATGGTGCTCTGAAT